AGAGGTTGTGCAGGCACCTACTCTGGATTCCTTTAAAAAACACTTGGATGTGCATCTTGCTGGGATCATTTGACTCTTGCTGACTGCCTGCCCTTTGGGCAGGGGGCTGGACCCAATGATCTTGCGAGGTCCCTTCCAGCCCTAAAGTCTATGAAATCTATGGTAACACGAGGTAACCTGTCTACATTTTACCAGCTACGTTCTATTGCCAGGGCAACTTTCCTTCCTTTCCCTCCCTCAGCTACTTGTCTCACACCTATTGTCCCCCATTTCCTCTGATTTTCACTGCCACGCATTTGCATTTTCGCAGACCTGCATTTTGCATATTGGCTTCTATTCTACCCAGGAGAACACAAATTACACCAGCAAACTGTTCCGATGCCTGAAGAAGGGTGTTTGTGCTCAAAAGCTTGCAAAGGACAGTTTTCCCAACTATTTAGTTGGTCTAATAAAATATATCACATCTACCCAAAGAACCTTGTTTGCCTGTGTCCTTGGACCAACGCGGCTACAACCAACAACCCTTAATGTAAAAAATGTACTGAGTGACAGGGACTTTTATTCAGACCAGCTTTCCTTTCTCTTGTATCTAAAAGGTTCTGCTTAGGTCACAGTCCCTGTCTTATGCTCTGGCAAAAAAATGAGGCAGGAGGTAATGTTTTAATATGATGCATTTTTTTAATTGATAAAAGACATTGTATCACTGTGTTTTTAACCCAAAATAACCTTGTGTAAACAGGTCTACACTTAAATGTGGAAGGAAACTATTGTGGTGTCTTCCACACCCACAAGATAACATTGAGTACCTACTTTCTAATTAGAACTGATTTTTTTAATCGCAGTCATTAGAATAGAGACATCTGTCTTTATAAGAACTTTTCTGACCTTTGACCTTCATTTGCTTCTCCACAATTTTTCACTTTTCCATGCTTGAGGAAATCACAATGTGGATAGTGTTGCCAAGGACCTAGCAGATATAGTTTTCTTTTCTTATTCCTTATCAGGATGACAAATGGTCAGGTTCTAAAACCTTGGGATTTCCCTCAGCTGGGCAAACAATTTCAGACTATATATATATATCGATATATATATAGATATATATATATCGATATATATATATAGATATATAGATATATTTTAATTTATCAGAACTCCTAATAGTTACTTAAGAGGATTATTTTTTTTCAAGCTTAATTTAGCTGCAGAGATGGGTTACAACTGCAACTGCCAATCCATCCAGTTTTTCCACCCATCTTCAAACTTTGGGAGTTGAGCTAAAGAGTGACTTTGATCTGAACTATCATTATTTTAGATTGTGCAAAAACAGGACCTGACCTAGAGTTTGTAACAATCAAACCACTCCCTGCCCAGAATTGCTTCTCGTAGAAGGCCCTTCCCAGAAACTTCTAACATTTAAGATATAGGCACACAAAGGAGCTGAGATCTATGCTTGCAAGACAATTAGCTACAACTGCAGATAAAAAGTTACATCTCGGCTTCAATGTTTCCATAAAAGTACTTTAACTGTTTTTGTAATCCTCCACAGTGCACATGGATATGTTGCTTATGCTTGAAAAGATGCTTATAATGGTCCGGTAATTCATTAATATATATCTAGGCACTAGTTTAGGAAGGATCACATTTTTAATACACTCTCTGTTTTGTTAGATTGATTTTTTTTTCACCTTCATTTGGCTAGAGGTATAAACATTTCTAGACCAAAATTCAAAGCCCAAGCATACTTGGACTTTGGGGCAATTTGGAATAAGATTGTAGTTGAGTCTCTTTTTGTAGCTGGAATCTATGCACACTACTGATTTCTACACTTTACATCTTTTAAACAAGTATTATCTTTAATGCCCTCCCCAAAATGCTAACATCAAAAGGGAATACTGATGGTTTGATTTCTCATTTAGGCAGGATAACAATGCTTTTTTAAATGTAATCTCTACCCATATAATCTGTCAGTGCTAAGAATCTTCTGCCACTGAGCATCTGAACAATATCCCTTTCAAACCTTTCAGAAGTCTCCACCTTGCCACCTTCATGATAAATCTATTCAGAAGAGATGGTTGAAAGGTATATTGTATTGAATACACAGATGTATCACAAAGATGATACAGAGAGTGCTTTAAAAATGGTGTATCCTGCTCTAAATTAACCCTGGGTTGATGTGGAATCAGGCTAAAGCATTTTAGGTAAGAGCACTTTACTGAACTTCTTTAGTACATCCCATTGTGAGTCAAGGTAGGTTGCATTCTGCCAGCATCCCAGAGACCCTTTCCTGGGTGACCTGCTAGCCTTGTCTGGGGCTCATGCAGCTCAGCGTCACCCCCAGGCTGTCTCAGAGAGGAAAGAGAAAAGGCTCTGTCTCCTCCGTGTGTGGTTGGGCAGGCACAACCCGGCCCCCTTGAAGACCTGGTGTTGAGGGGTCCACATAGCAGGGGCCTCCTTTCCTCCCCTCTTACCACCTTCAGCCACTGGTGCTGACAGCAGCCAGCTGGCAGGGGCGTGGGGCTGAAGAGAGTGGCTGCATTGGTTAATTGGGGTGGACAACTGCGCTGCTGGGCTTGGCATTCTCTGGCAGCCTCTTGGGAGGTGTGCAGGAGTGCCCCCAGCCTGCTGGCTTCAAGCAGTGCAGGCAGACTGCGAGTGCCCCTTACTGAACAGCAAATGTCTGTTCTGCTTGCTCCTGACCTAATCTAGAGTACTAGAGTAAAGCACGATACTTGGAGTGCTTCTGCCTTGGGCTTTTCGAACACCTGTACTTAGCCATAGATATTTCAATATTATGATGAGTCCTTAAAAATATCTACAAATAACTAGTCATTAATTGGATGTAGTTAGACTTCTAAGCACAAGATATAATTTTCAGTATCCACAGGGGTGATAGGTGCTTACCCAAAAGTACATGGATCCTAGGTTTCTACCATGTGCAATGTTGACTTTACAGCTTTAAATCTTGAAAGAGCTCCTTGTCAGTAGACTTCCATTGACTTCACTGAAGCTCAGTGTAGACATAGGGACCTGCCTTTATGGAGTGTCTTACAGAATTGAGGGCTAAATGACTGTTTTTGGAAAAGGATGATCACTTAGGGTCTGTTGGGTACATGCTGCACAGCCATTTTCTTGTGATAGCTGCTGATGTTGGTGGGTCTGGATCCTTCACATTTTCTTCCTATATGTTTCTATCTCACTTGCTAATTTTTTAAAATGTTTTTATTCATTTTATTTTATACCTGCAGGTATGTACAGTCACCATTACAGTCTATTTGCCGTACTTCTTTCCTTGCACTCCAGTTAGGACCCTGAGAACGTCTCAGCTGAAAAACAATACAGAAATGTAAGTGGCCCATGTGTTTTTAAGCAAAAGGCTAATAGTATCCATTATTTTCTAAGAACATCTTTATGAACATCAAATAATCTCACCAGATTTGAATGTTCAAAATGGATAATTGTTCTTGTCTATTTAAACTTTTCAAATGGGTGGTACTTAGGCATGCAGTGACTGCAATTGAATACATGTGCATTCTTATTGCGTTATGACATAATTGGTGAAAGCCTATTTGATCCTGTTTCATACTCCAAATCTCTCTCTTGCACCTCCCTCCATCTGAGTAGCATCTTGTGAAGAAACATTGGAATTCGGACAAAAAATGTTCAGATTTTAAATTACAAGACAGTTGGTTTCACTCATTACAAATATATATAACCAGTCAGAGATGGTGCATATAGTACTATTAGGAAATAGTTGTATTACCTTCAGGTAATACAGTATGAAAACTTACTTGCCTCCTCTGACAATAGTATTGGAATAACTTACAAAAGTATAATAAAATGCAGACTTTATATACTGCAAGTTGCAGATTATCATGTTTTATATGTTACATAAATAAGTGCTATATGCTGTAATACGTTTTTCAATTTTCTTTAAAAAAAAAAGCATAGTAATTTGTATCACTTACTTAATATCAAGTTTTGGCAAACCTATCCCAGTGATTTGGATATTTATAAGGAAAAACCTCTTTCCTTACCCCAATGTCCTTTTTGCATTTTATGAGCTACCTGCTTACAAAGTGTTATTTTTTCAAAACAAAGTTGTTTTTGCTTTAGCATTATATAGAAAAAGCATCTGAAACCATGACAGTTCTATGTTTTCTGCCTCTGAGTCAAAATAGTCAAGCTGATCCAAGTTAGAGCCTAACAGTTTTTAGTTCAGTTATTTCATAGTATCATAGTGCTCAGGGTCAAAAAGGACCTAAACGGATCATCAGGTCTGACCCCTTGCCCCGGGCAGGAACGGGTGCCAGGGTCATATTACCCCTGTCAAATATCTGTCCAGCCTGCTCTTGAAGACCTCCAAGGTAGGAGAGAGTACCACCTCACTTGGGAGCCCATTCCAGAGCCTGGCAGCCCTAACTGTAAAGTAATGTCTCCTGATGTCCAGCCTGAACCTTCTCTCTAACAATTTGTGGCTGTTATTCCTAGTAACCTTGCTGGGGGGAACAGAGCCTCCCCCAGTTCCCGCTGGTCACCCCTGGTGAGTTTGTAAATGGCCACCAGATCCCCTCTAAGCTTTCTCTTGTGGAGGCTGAATAGGTTCAGGCCTTCTAGCCTCTCTTCGTAGGGCCTGCCCCGCTGCCTCTCGACCATAGGAGTGGCCCTCCTCTGGACCCTCTCAATGCTAGCCACATCCCTCTTGAAGTGCGGTGTGCAGAACTGGATGCGGTACTCCAACTGTGTTCTGACCAATGCCGCATAGAGGGGAAGGATCACCTCCATGGACCTGCTTGTGATGCATCTCTTACTGACCGCTTCTTTGCATTAGCAGCTCATGTTCGTCCTGGAGTCAACAATGACTCCAAGATCCCTTTCTGCCACCGTGTTGACAAGGAGGGAGTTCCCCAGCCTATAGGTGTGATGCTGGTTCTTTCTCCCTAGATGCAGCACCTTGCACTTGTCTGTGTTGAATTCCATTCTATTCTCATCCGCCCACCTCTGTAATTTGTCTAGATCTAGCTGGATTCTGTCCCTCCCCTCCAGAGTGCCCATCTCGCCCCACAACTTGGTGTCGTCAGTAAATATGGACAGCGTGCTTTCCACACCCACATCTAGATCGCTGACAAAGATGTTGAACAGTACAGGCCCCAGGACCGAGCCCTGGGGGACTCCACTGCCCACATCCCTCCAGGTCAAATATGATCCGTCCACCACCACTCTCTGGGTATGGCCATCTAGCCAATTTGCCACCCATCTGGCTGTGTAGGCATCCATGCTGCAGTCACCAAGTTTTTTTTTTTTTTTTTAAAGAAAATGTGGTGGGAAACCATGTTAAAGGCCTTCTTAAAGTCCAGGAAGGCGACATCCACCCCAACACTCTTGTCCAGGGACTTTGTGACCTGATCATAAAAAGAAACCAGATTAGTTGGGCAGGACCTGCCCTCAATGAACCCATGTTGGTTGCCCCTGAGCATTACCTCCCCTGCTGGGCCCTGCAGATATACTCCCTGATAATTTTCTCAAAGGTCTTCCCAAGGACCGAGGTGAGACTAACTGGCCTATAATTGCCAGGGTCCTCCTTTCTCCCCTTCTTGTAAATGGGGACCATGTTGGCCCTTTTCCAATCCTCTGGTACCTGGCCAGTACCCCACGAGCACTCATAGAGCTGTGCCAAGGGCCCCACTATGACCCCCACCAATTCCCTCAGCACCCTTGGATAAAGAACATCTGGACCTACTGATTTAAACACATCCAGCCCCTCAAAAA